CAGTTGGCAGTGCCAGTGTTTGAGTTGAGCTCTTCAAAGAATTTATTGTCAGTTGGCAGTGCCAGTGTTTGAGTTGAGCTCTTCAAAGAATTTATTGTCTGTTGGCAGTGCCAGTGTTTGAGTTGAGCTCTTCAAAGAATTTATTGTCTGTTGGCAGTGCCAGTGTTTGAGTTGAGCTCTTCAAAGAATTTATTGTCAGTTGGCAGTGCCAGTGTTTGAGTTGAGCTCTTCAAAGAATTTATTGTCAGTTGGCAGTGCCAGTGTTTGAGTTGAGCTCTTCAAAGAATTTATTGTCTGTTGGCAGTGCCAGTGTTTGAGTTGAGCTCTTCAAAGAATTTATTGTCTGTTGGCAGTGCCAGTGTTTGAGTTGAGCTCTTCAAAGAATTTATTGTCAGTTGGCAGTGCCAGTGTTTGAGTTGAGCTCTTCAAAGAATTTATTGTCAGTTGGCAGTGCCAGTGTTTGAGTTGAGCTCTTCAAAGAATTTATTGTCAGTTGGCAGTGCCAGTGTTTGAGTTGAGCTCTTCAAAGAATTTATTGTCAGTTGGCAGTGCCAGTGTTTGAGTTGAGCTCTTCAAAGAATTTATTGTCAGTTGGCAGTGCCAGTGTTTGAGTTGAGCTCTTCAAAGAATTTATTGTCAGTTGGCAGTGCCAGTGTTTGAGTTGAGCTCTTCAAAGAATTTATTGTCAGTTGGCAGTGCCAGTGTTTGAGTTGAGCTCTTCAAAGAATTTATTGTCTGTTGACATCAACTTTACATTTTTGTCTTGAAAACAGCATGTCTGCTTGCTTTGATATACTTTGTATATATGTACCTTTAAGTTGGTAAATATTGACTTCTCTCAGATTTGCTCATTTCATGAAAATTCTGGTGAATATTATTAAAAAGTGCTATTTTTGGCTTATTCTTGAAAATATAGCGTGATTATTTCAATATTTTATACAGTATGTAGACACCTCAATTGAACCTTAAATTTTTTCATTTTGTGACTACAATGTATAAGTACAGTTTGTATAATAATGTTAGGGCTGACTAAGCGTTGATGACAAGCCCCCTTTTCTGACCTGTTCTATATCTCTGTTTTCCAAGTGTGATCCACAGTGGTGCTATTGTTCGAACTGCCAATTACAAATCTCATCCCATTGTCTTTCCAAATTGTATAGCCACTGTCAATCAATAACATTTTCTTTCATTTGTTGTAAATCGTTCGCTATAGCTAACATTATTGGCTAAAACAGTGGGCACCTACTCTGGTTAACATCACAAAACCTGAAAGCCAGTTGAGAACCTGAATGCGGAAAACATGGTTTTATATTTTCTCGTCAGTGAGCCAATAACAATCCCACTACATTTGGCCTATTTACCTACTGTGTGCGTTTAGTAAACAATGAGACTGCATATTCAGGAGAATATTCAGTGAATAAAGTTTTTTCATGATTTATTTATGATAAATGTTTGATTTGAATATGTTTTAGTGCAGACTGTGTTATGTATGTATGTATGCAGCAATTGTTGTGATGAACAACTTGCGATGAAAATAATTTGCAAAAAATGTCTGGCATGCATGCAAGCGATGTAAGCGTAATTAAATACCTCACTCAAGAAAACCATGGGAACCCAGGCTAATTGTAAATAAAAATGTGATGTTTGAACATGTGTTTGAGTTTAATTATAGATGTTTTTAGCATAGAAAATAGTTCCCTGCCCTGGCAGTGTATACTGTAAAACATGTTGAATTAGCTATATGAAATTTTAGCGAATTTGACTCCATGCATGAATCTTAATTTAGCTAAAGTGTCAATAATCTCATTGTGAGAATATACTTTATTTTAAATTAGTGACATATTAGTGAAATTACAGATAGCTAAAATAACGTGCTAGCTAAAAAGAAATGTTTTGCGTACAGTATGCACGTACCCGGAAGCTGTCATCCAAGAAAACATGCGTTTTCATCTGAATGACGAGGCTTTGAAAAATGATAACATGATAATACACCATTTTAAAAAAATTTATGTAAAACTCGTTAGCTGCATGCATTTATATTTTCTCATAATAGACTGCAAAGTATGTATGAAAGATGGAACGTCGTCACTCTGATCCCCACTATGCATATCTCTGCTGTACTGTCTCATTAGTTTATTCTTGTACAGTCTGAGTGTAACTTACATTTTCTAATATGGTAGGATGCAGATATCTTACTTGATACTGCAACGTTATGTCAAATTGCATGGAAACACTGACTGATGTTTATTTATTCACAGACAGTCACCGCCATGGGGATGGACACTTGCAAACATGTTTGTATTCAAGAAGGTAAGATGAATCCTTATCTTAAATCAGCACTCTTGTCAAGTGTAAATTCTATTGTTCTGTTCTCTGATTGGTCTTTACTCGCATTGCATGCACTACATGCTGTATGCAGTTCAAAACATTGCTCATCATGATGATTATACCCCAGTAGTACTTTATCATCCTAAAAAATCATCTGCCGACTGTGCCTAATTATAGCTAGCGATTACTTTAAATTAATTTATTTGTTTTCAATAGCTTCGTACTTATTTCCCTGGAAAGGTTATATAACAGTATTTCACATGAAACATCCCGATTGCATTGATAAACAGGCTTGAAATCATTGCCGTCTATTTTTAAGAAAGCTTCAACTCAGAATGGGGCACAGGATGAATTTTCTCAAGCGCGCAGAATGAGGGGTGCAGAATGGTGGCGCAACTATGGGGCGCACAATGCTTATTTTGGGAAATGTGCCGGCGCATTCCAGTGGCGCAGAGTACCGATTTCGAGCCTCACACATACCTTTTGATCATACACACAGTTTTGACAATTGTTTGAATATACATGCTTGCAAGTTAATATGCAACTGGCCTTTAGCAGATCTCTAAAAAATGTCGATATCAATTAGTAAACATTTGTTGTTGTGTCAAGATTGTTCGTCTGTCATTCATCAATTACATTTCCATCTTCTTCCTGAAAACTTCAAGCTCAATTGTTTTGATACTTAGTATGGCCTAGGTTATAGGTACCTTGGATGGACCTCTGTCAGATTTGTTGATTTCATGACTATTTCTTCAATTCGCTATTTTTTGCAAATATTTTTGGGGAAATAATGTCATTTTCGACTTCTTCTTGGAAACTACGAGCTCAATTGGAAAAAAGAAAAATGGAAATTTAATGAAAGACAAGTAGAAAATTATACTAACGAGCAAAATCAAATTAATAGATCTTATTTTAATCTGATTAGACTTCATGTTTTGGCATGTTCTTTTTATCATATGAGTGATTGCCCGCCCGAGTCTGTCGCCGTCATCCGCGTCAACTTTTTACCTTTTCGACTTCTACTTGAAAACTACAAGCCTGATTGCTTTGTACCTGTAGACCTGATGAATATTTTTTTCATTTTTGGTAAAAAGTGATATTTTTGACTTCTTGTTGAACATGCGTTTGAGTTTTATTATAAATGTTTTTAGCATAGAAAATAGTCCCCTGTTTACAGGTAGACCTCTCTCAGATTTTTTTTATATCATGATATCTTCAATTCCCTAATTGAAATATGCATTGCTAACAGCGGAGCTGTTTCAGCCGAGAGGCTGCTTGTTAGGTCATTTATTTAGTCGTGACTTAATTTTTTTTTTCAGATCAAAGCTGCATTGGGTTTTGATAGATGTAACTTATGTTTTTCGGGGGCTGCTCCAATTGCAAAAGAAACTGAGGACTATTTTATGAGTCTTAATATACCTATCTATAATATATATGGAATGAGTGAAAGCTCAGGTAAGAAACCAATTTACTGCTGGTATCAACTGTATAAATGCTCTATTAAAAATCAGTGCATTAAATTAACTGGTGTTTAATTGGAGTGTCATGTGGCTTTGACTTATTTCACAGGACATAATGCTGTCATATCAGGGGCACTATTACAGATGGGCATTCACATAGTGTTAAATTGAGGACATTGCACACTAGATCTGATGACATTGTACATTAGATCTTATGTAAAAATTAAATGACAGACTAGCGACAGTTTTTAGACAGGCTATAACTGTTATAGACATTCAACCAATTCAAATTAAGTTTGCTCATTGCGCATTCAAACGTCTCAATGATGGGGCCTGTCACACTTTCGTCTCTGTGGCAACCATCAGTTGATGCGGCATATGCGAAAAACGTATGAACAGACATCCATTGATTGAAAAATTTGCATCTTTAGATTAGCAGTGTGCTATTTTTATCAATCAATCGGTGTCATTGTAATCCACCAACTGTACAAGCAAAATCAAGGTAAAGTTTCCTTGAAGAAGGATGAAGGATCCATGAAATAATGGAAAGGTGGTGTATAACCAGGTTATCATCTTCTTTTCTTTTGTGTTTTCTTCTAATATTGTGATAAAGCAGGAATGCCGTATTCACTCACAAAATAATAGTATACATGTATACAGCAAGCAAACAAATAAATAAATAAATAAATAAATAAATAAATAAATAAATAAATAAAATCACATCTGTACATACTGATTTTCCTGCATGTTAACTTCCTGATTGGCCATTAATAACTGTCAAATGTGCTTATTGTCAATACTCAAGAGAGTAGCAAGCAATAGTTATCCCAAGACAATTATGTTTGTGTGTCAAATGATAACTCATTGTTATGAATTATTATGACTGGTGAGACGTGTATGTTGCTTAGTGGCTAGTTTGTCCAAATGAATACTACATGTAGACAATCTCAAGGCTTTCTCATCACCATCAACAGTGCAATTTCAATCTACAGTTTGGTGTGACTTTTTTTTAGCAGATATAAAATGATTGTCAAATAATACAATCAGACCAAATCAATGTACACTCATCTGTACTGTTCCCAATACATCTATATAAATATTGTTGTAAAAATAGTGATTTTCCTGATAATCAGAATAACTTAACTGTTAAAAAAAAACAAGTTAATTTTATAAAATTATAGGGCCTGAATAAATTATTAAAAAGTCAGACCTTATAAATACTTTTGGATTGATGCAAGTGCTAACTTTAGTGGGGGCCCTGCATACGTTGGGAAGTTTGTTGCCAGCTTTGATAGAACTATATCCATCAACAGGCTGCTTGTGAGAAAGAGAGAAAAAAACCCTAAATTGTTGAACAGTTGAATTTTGTTTTTCTGGTAGGTCCACATACGATATCATTACCCGGAAAATTCTTAGTTGGTAGTGCAGGCAAAGAATTTCCCGGAAGTGAAACGAAACTTGCAGATCCAGATAAGGATGGCAATGGAGAGGTAGGTTCAAAGCATTTAAGTGTGGAATGGTCTTTGTTTAATGAACACAGTGAAACCTAATGTAAATCAAACACTGTGAAATCTGTGTAGACTGAACACTGAAATCTGTTGTTACGTTCAGACGCTGGTACTCGACTTGTATAACAAATAAAACGCCTGAACCCAAGCAGTGTGCAAGATAGTACGGTAGTATATTTTCAATGGACTATTGAAATGTCACATAACTTTGTGTGCTACACCACACCTCAAACAAAAATGCTAGCAGTAACATACATCCAATATAGACTTCTGTTTAACAACGGCAAAAAGAACAAACAGTCAAAATTAACAATACTTATCAAAACAAATCAAAGAGTTCGTTCTGTGCTGGCCTGTCACTCCGTCGTCTTCGAACTTTTGTCACGACTCCCAGGTGGTGTCAATCTTCATTCATTCATCTCCGTCGAAGCGTACCAAGTTTCAGCTCACACGTGGACTTCTTCCAGTTTCTTCCAACACGTCACCGGAACGAAAACACAAGCCAGACCGGACAGCTAACAATGTTCAAGAACAATCCCCATTTCCTAATAAACTGATAAACCAGTCAGTGATACTGGTAAAAATTATAGTGCTATCAGTACACCGTCTATTTGGAGTCTTCTTGCTATCAGTCTACCGTCTAATTGCCGTCTACCTCGTCAACGTAAAACAAAAGGCTTTTATAGCCAAAGCAGACTCCCTAACTCAGTACAAATAAATATGCAAAATAGGGATAAATTGACAAAAGAACACAACATAAAGCGACCGAGGACAATATGCCATTTCAATAAAACCCCAACTACAAATTACACAAATAATAAATACATGAAATAGACTCAAACGTAACATCTATGTATACTGAACACTGAAATTGTGTAAAATGAACACTGCAAAATCTGTAAACTGAACACTGAAATCTGTGTAGACTGAACACTGAAATTGTGTAAAATGAACACTGCGAAATCTGTAAACTGAACACTGAAATCTGTGTAGACTGAACACTGAAATCTGTGTAAACTGAACACTGAAATCTGTGTAGACTGAACACTGAAATCTGTGTAAACTGAACACAGAAATCAGTGTAAACTGAACACTGAAATCTGTGTAAACTGAACACTGAAATCTGTGTAGACTGAAAACTGAAATCTGTGTAAACTGAACACTGAAATCTGTGTAAACTGAACACCGAAATCTGTAAACTTAACACCTGAAATCTGTAAACTTAACACTGAAATCTGTAAACTTGAACACTGAAATCTGTGTAGACTGAAAACTGAAATCTGTGTAAACTGAAC